AATTACCGCGGACTCTTTCCTAGTGCTAGCTAATCACGTCCTTCAATGTATAGAACCGCACGAAATCAATGTAAATTGATACAGAAAAAATTACATAGGGTGAGGTAAAAAGAGACAGTCTTCTCACTTATCATGCCTCGGGAGGGATTCGAACCCTCGTTTTCCCATGATCTCATAGTCTTAGCATGGCTCGAGCACGGAGAAGGGATGATCAACCAACGAGCCACTGAGGCGTTCCTGCTCTTATTTGAGACTAGGTGTTGTAAGTGCGAAAGGAGGTTGTAAATAGACCGCCCGGAATAAAATATCAATCAGTCATTGTGAGTTTGAGTTCAAGTGAAGTTTATCTGGGTCGTGCGCAAAACAAATGTGTATTGTACAGAAAGTTGATTATTGTACGGGGAGAAAATGATCCGCGTAATGTGTTGCATGGAAAAAAGTGTTAGCATCCCCGCTTATGCCTCGAGAGGGATTCGAACCCCCATCTTCCCGTTGTAGACTCATCGGAATTAGTCAAAGTAACAGGGACGATCCACCATGATCTACCGAGGCTTTCCTGTGATACATGTGCACCAGAGAAATGCACCCTTCGAACTCAGCTAGAATTAAATTTGGATTTGAACCAAGCCCGGCAACTCCCGGCCTCCTGACCAATCATGACCAATCAAGCATCTCCTTTTCCGGCTGGTTCTTTCTCCCACCCACTGAGACTGACGTCGTGCTCGTTCATCTGAGGCTTGAGCTTTCGACGACGACGACCGCAGTCATGTCGACGGTATCCAGCCCGGGCCCTGTGCCACTCGCCTTTCCGCGCCCCGCCTCGCCCACAAAGTCGGGATGCCCACTTCCCAGTATTTATGACTTTGACGGGTGCCATCAACACGGAATTCGGCTACGGGACACCCGTCCCGTTGAAGTGCAGCCATGAACAGGCTGAACAGCGGATTTCACCCCTGCTCTCAGAATGAGTTAAATTCTTCCAGTGAATTGCCATATTATGCCATGTATGTTGGTTGACATGCGCCTCAAGTCCGGTCCCGAGATTTATCTTCGGTCGTGAATAAATGCAGTTATTCCGCTACAAGCGAAATACTTATGAAAGGCAACCATATGAAGGGCTTGTGGAGGGTGTCCGGTAATGATATGTGAGTGTTGAAATACTGTGGTCTTGCCTTTTTTTTCTTTTTGGATTTCAATTATCACTCTAATGTTTCAAGGGTCATAAAGTTGTCATGAATCAGACACAATTTACACCGGCTTTATTGAATGTCTGAGTGAAGTGGAGTTTAACCGACTTCGCCGGAAAATGGTCAGCAAGCAAAATTCATTTGATTAAGGAAGTCAGCAGCATTCTGGGTCGATTCAATATATACCAAGCTGGTTTGAATACTAGTACAATGACTCTCCAGTGAGCGAAATATTGTCCGCATCACCCACATTTAAGCCTCTTGAACTTCAACCGCATCAACCTCCACGATCTGCTGACACTTGATCAGAATTTTTCACTGAATGGCAAGAAAGAGTAAACTTACCGCATCACAGTAAATAAGATTAATCAGCCTATCGACATCCACCAGGGGATATCCAAGTTTGATCGCAACATCTCGGCTGGTAGGGTCAAAGCCTTTTGCACAATGAAACTTGGTGATTGACTCATAGACCTCCTTGCTCCACTGGCTTCCAGTTACTTGGGCCCGAAAATTCACTTGCGGAAGGGCGAGTTCCTCCAAGGCTTCTTGAGGCAATCGTTCAATCCCGTCGGGATCGAAAGACCAGTAGTATGTGTCGCTCGCTGGAGGCAGGTGAACAGCCAAGTCACCACCAGAGTTGTCTATGTTGGGGGGGAACAAGAAGAGGTAGATGTCATCCCTTGGGACATCGGCCATGAATGTTCCTTGCAATGTAAATGGGTCGAGATCAAATGATATCGAGAATCGCAAAACAAGATTGATGATAATAACTGCAAAATGTGTCAGACTCATGTGAATTGTATGAGTATCACGTACAATATTCATCTAAGAGATTATCATTGAGGTAAGGATTGGAATTAAGTTTGAAGGGAACTTACCTGCATCCATACCCGATGTATCCATGACATGGTTTGCCTGTGAGAGCCAATATTTAAAAATATTGAGGAGCGCTTCCCCAACATATTTGGTTTGGCGGAAGTGACATTCCTCAAGGATGGATAAATCTTCTAAGCCAACACTAGGTCTGTCGTCAGTCAAAGTCGTGGATTAAATAATAGAGAGCACTTACCGTGTCCACCCATTCGGTAATATGACAAAGTCATTCAGGAATGAAGAACCCGCCTGGGTATGTACATATTCCCAACCTTCTGCATTAACATCCTGCAATCTCAGACTGTCCGATAGAGAAATTTCGGAAAATGGATTGAATAATGCATGGCTAGACGTGAGCCAGGAAAGAGATCCAAGCAGAACAGTGCCTGCATCAGCAATATCAACTTGATATACCCGACCAGCGGCCGAAAATATGGAGTGGATATCATCAAGAGGCATGTGGGAAAGAAGTTTTTCCTCCAAATTGGTGTCGGATGTGAGATGAACTCTGGATAAGATGGTGGCACCTGAGTATCCCTGAGGAATATCTGTGGGATCCTGTTCCTTGTTGTCATTGACCTCAATACACAGCTGCCCAGTGGAGAGGCAGATCCACAACACTGTGCCCATCGCCAGCTGCTTCCAGAGACCATATGAATCCTGGACAACTAGCCATTCTCCAGTGATTCCCCTCCAGTGAGTGAGTGCGGCCTTGAACCCGTCAGTTTAATACATGTATCCCTGTGTTGAGCTCACATGGAATTGCTTGGTCTTTAGTCAAGTTCACGGTCAGGTGCATCTTTACACCAAACAAGGTGAAGACACACCACTTCATTCTCGACAAACCCCTTCACCAGCAGAGATTGCTGATGCATTTTTCGAAATTCATCCAGTGGCAACAATCCTGCAATAGGATGAAATTCCGAGTGGCAGGGGACAGCGTCATACTTGCCGTCATGGTAGATCAAAGCTTTGAAGTTGTTGCCGGAAGTCATACCGAATAACTGAACCAAAAAGGGATGTCTGGGTCGGAATGTGAGAGGAGGGCGAAGTCTATAGATTTTTGTGGAAAAAATGTTCACCGCAATTCTTCACGCCGTTCCGCATGAGCCCGGTGCTGCCCGAATTCTATTAGGATGACAGATCAACACCAGAATATAGCTTGCCTTTTCGAAGTCAGATCCTTGATACACGACTGCGGTGAATTGCTCCTGGCTCCCATGGACACGCGCTTGATAAATTTCCCGCAAGCCTACTACTCTGGGAATCCGGCGGGTCACAACCCCTATCCTCTTGTGGCGAACTTCTTGATATTCAATAATATTTTGCTTGGCCACTTCTTTCACGAGGCGCAAATCCCCCACTCTCACACACCGAAAATCTAGTCCGGGAAGTAAGAGTAGTTGCGCAAATTGAAGCTCGCAGGGAATCTCACTGCTTCCATCCGAGTCGCTGCCATTCGCCTGAATAGTGAAAGTACTATTGCTGATGGTGAAATTCTGGCAATTGTTGAGTATAGCTCGACTAGCACGCATCATCAGCACCGCCGAATGCAGAAACAGATAGCTCGATACCTAGCTCCTTGGGGCATACTTTCGTTTGTCGGGGACCTCAGTGGCTTTCGATGGGCTTGATTCTGCATGTAGGGGGCGGGTAGGTCGTGGTGGTGGAACAAGAGAGGCCTATAGAAGGCCGTACACGATGTATTTATTTTTCAACTTGGTGGGTTTTAATCCGCAGAGTGTTGAGGCTGTATAACACACCGAGGCTGTATAATGGCCCCGGCGCTGTGCGCAAAAAGAAAGCGGTTTGTGCTGCTGTATTTTGTGTTTAGTGTCTCACAGGTCATTCATTTGAACATGGGATTCCTAGGAAGCACCTAAACAGATTTAAGATGAATTGATCAGAATAACACACGAAAACAGGAAAAGCAACCGAGCAAGGCCTTAATTAAATTGCAGTGAACCGGGCGGATAGGTAAATTGAACGTTGCCTGTGTACCGAAAATTTTCGTTGCATTTCCTTTTGTTGTATCGTGAGCGAAGACGCAGAAAGTAATATTATCAGGAGCCATGACACCCTAGAATTCGTGCGTTAAAGTCACTGTTGCATATACATATGTTCTTTTATTGTCTTATTTCATTCCTTTACTTTTTTTTTCGCCAGCCCCACGGATGCGAAGCCTCGAACATTAATATTGGTTATTTAAATTAGGGCTGACATCGGTTCAATTTGATCAGGGGAACCCAGGCCTATTACTTAGCAGCACTGCTTGGTATGCCTATACACATCGTTTGCTTTCACCATAGCCGGCGAACGGCGCTTTCCAATCGGGACTGAGTCCGACTCACAGTGCTGTATTATTCTATATTCTCATATTTCAACACCACTTCAACCCAAATGTTCATAGGGGCTGTTACAATTAACACTGGCGGAGACGCACACCAATCCCTTTCCACAGCAGATTAATATATGTGGGCTCAGCTGCACAGCAGAAGAGGCTTGACTCCCGCATCTGATTTCGCCAGGACACATGTGTGCGATACTAGCGTGTTTGCGCAGGAGCCATTGGAGCCATCCAAGGGCTTCCGGGCCGTGCGCAAAAATAGCCGGCGGATGCACAGAGCCATTGACGTCATATTTTGGCTGTGGAGCGGCCAAAAGTGATCATATGGGCTCCAATGGCTTCTGTGCAAGCTCTATATTCATATTAGCCTTCAGCACCATTGAGCTCTGTCCCAAGTCTTTGTGACTGCTTTCCTTATTTCCTGCGCTATCATTCGTGCCAGCTCGCAATTGAGAAAAATATCCAGACCACGAAGGATATAGCAGCAGATAAAAAAAGAGAACAGAAGTATTGATATTGCATAAATGCCTTAGTCTCTCCTAGACAGACGCTACAACCGCTGAAGCTCGTACCTCACATGTTGTAATAAATGCTTTAGGGAGGATTCGAACCTCCATCTTCCCGTGTATTCGTGGAGGACCCAGGGCTGACTATCACTGATGAGGGATGATCTGCCAATTGATCCACGAAGGCTTCTTTTTATGAGGCTGGGTGGGTGCGGTGATTTTTATTCAGGTGGCCTACCTCTGCTTCAGCCATCACCATCCGAATTAATGAAATAAAGTACCGCGGATTCGCCTTTGTTCTCCTAGTTCTACTTAGTCAACTACAGAACCGCATGACTTTGATGTTGAACCATTGCAGACAAATCTGCCCCAGGTGAGGAAAAAAGAGACAGGTTTATTACCAACACTTCATGCCTCAGGAGGGACTCGAACCCTCGTCTTCCCATGATCTCATAGTCCAAATCCCTCAAGAGAACGGAGAAGAAATGATCAACCAGCGATCCACCGAGGTGTTCCTGCTCTTATTTGAGGATAGGTGTTGTAAATGCCAAAGGAGGTTGTAAATAGACCGCCCCGAATAAAATATCAATCAGTCATTGTGAGTTTGAGTTCAAGTGGAGTTTATCTGGGTCGCGCGCAGAAAAAGATGTGTATTGTACAGAAAGGTGGTTACTGCACAGCGAGAAATCAATCCGTGTAATGTGTTGCATGGAAAAAAGTGTCTGTCCCCGTTTATGCCTCGAGAGGGATTCGAACCCCCGCCTTCCCCTTGTCTACGCAGTACTGGCAGTATTCTACCCGACGTAACAGCGACGATTCACCATGATCCACCGCGGCTTTCCTGCGATACCTGTGCACCAGATAAGTGTACCCTTCAAATTCACCTAGAATTAAATTTGAACTTGAAGCAAGCCCGGCAACTCCCGGCCTCCCAACCAATCATGACCAAATCAAGCGTCTCCTTTTCTGGCTGGTTCTTTCTTCCACCCACTGAGACTGACGTCGTGCTCGTTCATCTGGGGCTTGAGGTTTCGACGACGACTACACAGACGATCTCGACGATATCCAGCCCGAGCCCTGTGCCACTCGCCTTGCCGCGCCCCGCCTCGCTCACAAAGTCGCCGACCACGTCCCGTTGTCGGGAGAATAGCACCAATAACAACAATACCACGAATGTGAATGACTCGCCTACGCCCCGGTCGCGAACCAACTCGCTCTTTGACTCCCTGCTGGAGGTACATACCTACTACTGCGAGAGCCATCGGTTTAATTTATTGATTATGCTCATAGGCTCGCCGCACCGCAGCACCCTAAGCATCGACAACCTCAAGCCCAACGCACACTCCCACCCCATCCGCCCAACATCCACCGCCCTCCTCATGCCCTCCAACTCCACTAGCTCGCAGCAGCAGAATAGAGGGCGGCACCACTGCCTGCCGCTGCCGCCGCACCCCTCGCCGCATCGCGAGCGCACGAGCAGCAACGCCACCGCTACTGGAGACGGGAATTGAGGGGGCAGCGGTGGGAAGGTGGCGGGTGAACGGAGGGGTGAGTACCGCGGGCACCGCTACTCGCGCACGAAGGGATGGCGTATGGGGGGGCGGGGGGAGAGAGCCCGAGGGCGCCGCCGATGCGCGCCTGAGTTGGGTGTGTTTCTTCTCTATCCTTATATTCCCTGTTCCTCATTGCATTTGACGCGACAGGTACCACACCGGACGATAAAGCAATAAACAACGTCACCTCGCTCAAGCGCTGGACGTCCGCGCCGCTCACCGCGTCCCTCGGCGGCGGTTCATATGTACGCATAGGTGAGGAGAAGCTGGGAAGGCTTGGGTGAGTTGTTCTTCCTCCGTTGCTTGCTTTTATTTTCCCCTCCTTTCATCTCTCCTCGCCCTTTGATCCCCCCATTTAACCCTTCACCCTGCCTCGTTCTCCCCGTTTCCTTGCGCTTCCTTCTTTCCGCTGCCCTTCGGTATCGATATCCATTGGGCCTGCGTTTCAGGCACTCTTGTTCGTCCACACGCGAGCTCCAGCGCTGCCCCAGGCCGAGTTCGTCGTGCGTCGCGGCGTCTTTTTTTCCCTGGACGTGCCTCGCGGCGTCTTTAATGCGCTGCCCCCGCGCTCGCTACCGGCGATACGGGGGGGCTCCCGCGCACTCTCGATAGTCCCCTGTGCCCCAGTCGAGCTCCGTGCTGCCCCAGACACCTTCGCCAACATGTGTCCCAATACATTTATTTGTGGGTTGGACAAATGGAATGAATCATTGCGCGCAATAATTCCTTTGCTTCCTCTGAAAAATAATGCGGGCAGCCAGCACTGACTGGAGGTAAATTTTAATTTCGATCTCTACAAAGCAACAAAATATGTCGCCCGTCCATTATATAACTTTCAGGGTGAGCCGCGGGGAAAAAAATGTTCGGCGATCACCGTCATGCCTTGGGGAGGACTCGAACCTCCGTCTTCCCATGAGAAACTATCGGGAGAGTCACTGAGTGCTAATTGATCTACCAAGGCTTATTCTCTATATTTCGAGGATAGATAGGCGCAACAATTTCTGTGCAGTGGCCTGTCTCTTGCAACCTTGTCACCAACCGTACAGGTATGGGGGAAGTATGAGCTTCAGATTCGAATTTCTTGCTGAGTATTCGGTTGACTGCACACAAACGGCTGGCACCCTGAACGTGTATAGTGCATATACCAGAAGGAAGAAAGCAAAAAAAAAAAGATCAGATCTTCGGCAAATCACTGCATTCCAAGGCCCCCTAGACTCAGTGAGCCTAACTTTGTCTAGGGCCAGTCTAGGTGTGTTTGGTCCCTAGGCAGACCCTGTGTAGGGTCCTAGACGGATATTTTGCCTAGGAGTCTCCAACTCTGTGTAGCCTCTGTGTAGGTGTGTTCGGGTGTCTCTGTCTAGCCAAGTGTAAGTCAGTCTAGGTTAGTTTGGGTGAGTGTAGGTGCCTAGTCAGAGCAAAACAGACATACTTTTATGCCTTTCGCTCCAAAATCCTTGTAGGGGGTTCCGTTGATCATCAGCGCATCAACGTTGATCCTGCCGTCGGCGCATCGCACGTGAGACGACAAAGATGCCACAACAACGCCAGCCACAACATTCACTTGCGGCTTGTCGCTCGGAGTTCATTTAGGTCCTCCTTTGGGCTCAAGCACGTGGTTCCTCCTTCGTTCCTCCTCTTCCACCTGCCCAGTACATGTACCGGGTGTTTCCACAACTGTCAACTAGTCCATGACTCATGATGCAAGTGTCTGCTAGGTGGCAAGGGAGTTGCTAATGTCATATAGCCAATTAGAACTCGTCTGTATTGAATTTGAACAGGTGTGGAAACATCGGTGTAACTTCATTTAAGTCGGACGGAAGCCGGATGGACGATACCATTAATCATTCATTTTAAATTTGTGATTAGATCTTGCTTCCAGATTCGAGTTTATGTGCTACTTCCGATGACTCAAAATACTTCTATACATTGTGGGAGGATGTTTAGCAACTTATTTTGACGCAACAAGTAGATGGTGAGTCTGTCTAGGTACTATACTGACCTAGACTGACCCGAACTGAGTTCGGCAGACCGAGTCTGACCTAGACAGAGCTACAAAGAGCCTAAACAGACCTACACAGACTCTGTCTAATTACCTAGGCACAGATCTGTGCATAGGTATGTCTAGAACACCTAGACTCAGCTGAGTCTAGGGGGCCTTGGAATGCAGTGAATGCCTTGGGGAGGATTCGAAGCTCCGTCTTCCCAAATGTAACACAATAGAGGGGCCTATTACTGAGTGGGGGTGATCTGCTTGATCTACCAAGGCTTAATCTCTGTATTTTGAGGCTGGATAGGTACGAGAAGTCTCTGAATGTGGCAAGTCCCTTTCAACCTTCCAAGCTACGATTGAATATCGGAGCAAACAAAAATTGAATGAATGTGGACTCCAACTGGTTGGGAAATTCTATATGTGTATGTAGATGAACTGGTGTGTTTGAAATGACACAATGAAACACGGGGAAAATAAAGGCAAGAAAAAAAAAAAGTCGCCGAACCTCTTTGTGTATGCCTTGAGGAGGAATCGAACCTCCGCCTTCCCACGGACTCCATAGAACAACTTGGAATATAGACTGGGACGATCTGCCAATTGTTCCACCAAGGCTTATTTGACACTTCTAGGGAGGTTGGATAGATGCGGTAATTTTCGTACTAGTGCAGGTCGATTTTTCATCCTTGCCGATCAACCAAATATCTGAGCAAGAAGCGACCGAATGTGGACTACAATTGGCTTGGCCATTCTACATCTGACGTCGTAGAACGCCACATGAATTGAAACGATGGAAAAAATCCAGGCAAGAACAAAAAACCATTTCACCAGTTCATCAATGCCTTGGGGAGGATTCGAACCTCCGTCTTCCCGGTTATGCAACTCGAAGTCGAATAACTAAATAGATCTGCTGATCGATCTACCAAGGCTTATTCTCCGTATTTCGAGGCTGTCAGATAGGTGTTATGACTTTTGTGCGAGTTGCATCTTGTCAGCTATTGATGACCCGAGAAAACAAAAATTCAATGAATGTGGATTCCAATTCGTTTGGAGATGAACACACAGACTGGCGTGTTTTGTCAATGAAAGAACTGAAACGATGAAGAAAACAAAAAAAGTGAGAGCAAAAAGTCTTTATGGGACTATTGCCATGCATGCCTTGGGGAGGATTCGAACCTCCGTCTTCCCAAGTGTAACACAATATTTGGGGCATATATTACTGAGTGGGGGTGATCTGCTTGATCTACCAAGGCTTAATATCTGTATTTTGAGGCTGGATAGGTACGAGAAGCCTCCGAATGTGGCAAGTCACTTTTCAACCTTCTAAGCTACGATTGAATATCGGAGCAAACAAAAATTGAATGAATGTGGACTCCAGTTGGTTCGGCAGTTAACTACATGTGTATGAATGAATGCACAGGCTGGCATGTTCTGATTCTCGAATGAAGAAAAAGGGGTAAAATAACTAAGGCAAGAACAAAAGTCACCTAACATATTCAGGGCATATTCCCTGCCTAGGATTCGAATCTCCGTCTTCCCGTATATTCTGAATAATGCGCTGGGATGATTTGCCAATTGATCCACCAAGGCTTCGATACCCTGATATATTTGTATCCTGCGTGTCTCTTATCCCACTGCTACATACTAACTTGATGGCCTGGGACTTGTGAGTGAATAAGACGGTGGAAGACGGAAATACTAGTCTCTCCTAGACAGACGCTACAACTTGAGGTTCGTCGAATCGTACCTCGAACTACGGCCGAATAAAAAAATGTACACCAGGGATTCGAAGCCTCATCTGCACATTGTCTGCTTGATATTATCTGGGCCACTGAGTAGGGATGATCTGCCAATTGACCCGCCAAGGCTTTATTCTCTGTAAGTGGAGGTTGCATAGGTAGGTGCGAGTTTGTCTAGCTAAAAATCATGCGGCCAGCATTAGAAATGTAAATTGACCCTCCAAGGCTTTATTCTCTGTAAGTAGGTGCGAGTTTGGATTTTTGTCTAGCTAAAAATCACGCGGCCAGCATTATATCGAAATATATTTTCAATCCAGGAACAGTAAGTTTAAGGCGTTTTACAGCATTGCGTCAAGCTTTTGAAATTCGAGGCTCTGGAGCCAGTAATAACCAAAGAGGAAGGATAGAGCCGCAGATGAAAAAAAAAAACGGAAGTATTGATATTACATAAATGCTTTGGGGAGGATTCGAACCTCCGTCTTCCCGTATATTCGGGGACCACGACTTATACAGCTGGGATGATCTGCCAATTGATCCACCAAGGCTTTATTCTCTGTT